GTGGCCTGACGCAGCGCTAAAGCTTGGTTTCTGAGCGAAAAGCTGAACTTCTCTGGTAAGAAAGTAGACGAGACGTGAGTAACAAATGTTTTGTACCTGGAGCGGAAGAAACAGAACGGTGGTGAGCATTGGACCATCAAAAGTTCCTGTGTTGTCGTCCTCGTCTCCTGCCGGAGAAGCGTTCTGCAAAGCGATTTCACACGCGAAGTAAGGTTTTGAGTCGTGGAGAGATTCAGCGCTCAAAACCAGGTGACATTCTTCGGTCAGCACGTGATCCTCCGTGCTATTGTGCACTCGCGTAGAATTGGCTTCCACGATCTCGAAGGAAATCTCAGAAACCGCCCGCTTCCACATTTCCTCACATTGCCACACATTCATCGATATTCGAGTTGATAAATTTCTCGCCGAGCTGTATGTCCGCCTAAATTCAGGCGCATGAGGTTGTCCGAAGTACAATGCCAAGGTCTCGACCTCAGCAATGTTGTTGCACACGCACAAGCAAAAGATCAAGGCATCATTGATCGCCGCAGTCTGTTTCGGTTCTTAGAAGGCAGCATCGACGCAACCTGAAAGAGTTGACCCTGAAGAATTGACTCTAATTCCATTTCAAATCATAGAAAGCTCCGTTCTGTCGGGAACAGAGCGAGACGTTTGGTGAAAGTGCGGCGAAAGCGATATAAGTCTCTACCGGAGCTGAGCGTAAGAATCTTGACCGCAAAAGAAGTCAGCAAAGTGCGCGGAAGAGAAGTACAAATGGGACGACCATGTATGCTGTCGTTCGCGTTTTCGAAGGTGCAAACGATCATCAACGTTTTCGGCTGTGCTCAACACCTTCGATCGTGTGTAAGTCAGAGGTGCTGCAAGACGTCGAAACACCATCGATTGACCAAGTATCTCTGACCAGGATGGGCTGCGACGTCTCTTGAAGCTAATTTTTTCCGTGAACTTTGCGGGGAATGACGCCAATGATCAGTCTTGCTGGAGGTGAGAATGTCGTTTATCCTGCGCAGTCTGTCATGATCTAGATAACAAATGAGAGTTCGATATGTTGCGTGGGAAAATCCTAGGGATCGCCAAGGAGCTTCATGCTCGCACCATGAAGTTCGCCTACTGCGCTTAGACGACCTTTCGCAGGCCTTCAAGCATGGCTACAACACTAGGTCGAAATCGCTCTTCGACCCAAGACGAGGCCCTCTTTGAGAGCAAGAGCAGTAAGAAAAGGTTCCAGTGATCGGTTATGTCGCCTTTCCAGATTGTGACTAAATGCTGTATCGGAGAAGGAACAAAATGAGTTGTGGACATCGACTTCTAGACCTTGCAGATTAATCACGATATTTTGTGCGATTGATGCATCCGAAATGTCACCCTGAAAGGCGATCAGAATTGCGAAGGTTGGGCCCTCTGAGCATATCGCCAAGACCGAAAGAGGAGAAAAGCGTTGTCCATTCGTGTTAAAGTAGACTTCCTCCAGGCGTTCGATCATCTTCAGACAGGTAGCAGTCCCTCCTGCAGCTTGATTCTCGGCATAAAAAAGAGGCTGGGAGTCGGACTTGGCTTCGAGGATAATACAAGGAAAAGCAAGTTCTTGAATGCCAGGCGAGGGCCAAGGAGGAATCGCGTGGCGAAGCGAGAGTGCATTCAGATAGCTTCTCGACAGTACAGCGGCCTCTGAATGCCGCTCCCTCAAATACTGCTGGGAAGATTGCTGCGTTCGAAGCCCGAAGCCCATATCAGGCTTTGGCGCCGCCAAAGGTTCGGCCTCAGCGGACAGCAGACCCACTGGCTGAGTCCAGGTGACGTCTTCCCTGCACGTGAGTGTTCAGGGACGAAGAAAGTGGTGATCAGGACTGCATGCGGCGACACGAGACTTGCGTGCTCGGCGACAATCTTTCAGGCGCTTTAGCTGAACTCACGTGTATTGCAAAGCGCCGTTCGTCCGCAGGTCGCTGACCAGTTCGCGAATCATCTCCATCCACCTGAACTCAACCTGACCAATCAAGCTCTGCGGGCGTTCTAGCATTTCCTTCGCCTTCTGAAGAGCAATGATTGCATCCCTTGCGGGCGTAGTGACCTCTTTGACGAAAGCCCTCTCAGGTATTCTGTCCATCTCCTCCGATCCAACAAGAGCTACAGCCTTTTGACCAATTTTAAGCGGGAATATCGTCAATCGCAGTCAGAGAGGGAGGACTCACGTCGGACCTTGAGATGATGCCTTTGAACGTTTCCAACGTCAGAAATGCCTCCATTTCTCTCACATGAGGGGGCCACTGATTACGCCTGAGGCGGTTGATGTATATGCCTGCATCTTCCAGGTTCTGCGTGCGGTACGTGCGACTGGCGGCTTTGCTTCGCGTTGAATGACTTGATGTCATTTGCGTAGTATGAAGGATGAGGGAGATTTGAGGAGT